AAAATTGAGGAGTAAAATACCAAATGGAAACAAAAGGAGGAGTATTTCACAGATTGCATGGTTGCATGACAATGCGCGTTGAGCTATTGCGCATTGTTTTCCTATGCTGGTTTAAGGCCATCCCGTAATCTACAGTTGTCCTAATGCTGTATTATTACTGATTCGGACCGGAAATGTTGTGATAGTAATACTGTTTAAAGGCTAGCTTTAAAACAAATAGTGAACCGAACGTGGATTAGAAATATTAACGGAGATCATTCAAAAACTGAACAATCTTCGCTTCAATACAGACAACGAACACTATTAGAGTTCTTAAGATTAGATGTATAGGACTGAAGCAGTATTTAGACAGGTTTGGTTCACGCATGTAAACAAAATCTGGCTCGTATTCTGAGAAGGTTATGGGTATCTTTCACGCATTGATTTGACTTTATCCATGCGTAATTTACACAGATACACATCTTATCTGGAGCCCTGCATGATGGCCACCTTGTGGCAGAGGTACTATGCTGTCTACGTGGAGCTCTGGGTAGGAGCATGGTACCCACTATAACATGGTCTGGGAGAGTTTCAAGTGTGTAATCTTCGTGCTTTGCTGGATTATATAAACAATGTTTCTGCATCACCCATGAATGCATATTTGTGGTGATGTTGTAACACATGTCTAATTTGTGTCAACTAATCAAACAAGGCTGTGTTGAACTGTAGGAATTAAAGTGAGATGTGCATGAACTTTTTTCAAACTCTACCATCAGCTGAAATTGAAGCATCCTAAAGCATGGATGATGCAAATACCTAGGTGAAAAAGGCAGGCACTTAACCTATTAGAATCCAGTATATATACACAGGTTTGTTTTTAAAATAGAATTAGGTAGGATGAGAAGTTCATTTACCAAGTAACCCATGGCAATTTCACACAGTCAGATATCATTTCCCCTTTATCAGACTTAATTAGTCATAGTACCATGGTGTAGGAAATTACCCATGTTGATAAATATTCATGTTTACAATATTGTTTGTTCTTGTATATATAGAGAGAATGGTGCTCATGTTAATGATAAAACCATGTTTAAATTTGAAAGACTTTTACCTTCTTGTTGTCCTTCATAGTTATTCAAATACTGTAATTTTTAAATTGATTATCGGATATTTCATGTATAAATGATTCATATATGATATATGCATACCATGACGATTTGTTTGTGATCTAGTGTGTCCTTATTATGATCATGCTGTATACTGTTATGATGATTATGCTTGTACGTTAATCATAGCAGCATGTGTTATATGCATTATAAACCTTGTTTAGACACTGTTCTGTTGCAAGGATTGTGAAAACACACACATGGAGGAACAGGGGTGTGAGAGAGTTCATGATGAGAGTGAAAGATGTTTTTTAGAAGTATTTCAGTGACGGCTTGTCAGCTCGACTGTATTAATATGCCCTAGTATGGTGCTAACTGCCAAAGGAGGATAATCAGACTGAATCTTGGATTCAAACTCGTGACTAACAGATCCCAACAAATAAGGGAGGCAACTCTGCACACCTGGGCTCCATGTCCCCATGAAGCATAAAGATACTCTGTGATGACGAGTTCTTCTTATCTGAAGTCAGTAATGAGGTGAACTTGGTTTGCTTCGTCATTCGGACTTAAAACATTTACAGAGAGATATTAACAATCTTAGCCTCTCAATCTTGAATACAACATCACCAAATTCAGGTTGAATGATGTTGCCTTAAAATAGGAACAAATATTTGTACTGTCTAGCGACAGAATTAACAAATATCATGCATTCGTCTGAATCAGCTTCACGTCAAGTGTCTACATATAACAACTCCCACTGAAGGCTAAAAATATATGTGACTTTTGTTTGCTCTGGATAGAGAAGAGAGTGTTTGATACTTTCTGAGTTGCCACTCTTATGATGAAAAATTCCTAGAAAATCTATTTCGCTGTAATGAAGAACAAAACAAAGTGCTTAAAGTCAACCACACCCGTGAAGGTCCGGGTTAGAATGAACCTTCAGTAACCCATGCTTGTTGTAAGAGGCGACTAACGGGATCGGGTGGTCAGGCTCGCTGGCATGGTTGACACATGTCATAAGTTCCCAATTGTGCAGATCGATGCTCATGCTGTTGATCACTGGATTGTCTGGTCCAGACTTGATTATTTACAGACCGCCGCCATATAGCTGGAATATTGCTGAGTGCGGCATAAAACTAAACTCACTCACTCATTAAAGTCAACCAACATCTTTCATGTTATAATAATGTCTATGAAATGACACAACTCTTATGATTCTTCTATCATGATGATTCTCTTCTTTCAATCTCATGTGTAACCATGGTAACAGTATTGGACCCTATCTTGTGCTCCGTGGGGATACATTGGCAGACATACCCAATGCCCTAATAATCTTCATAAGAGCTGACTAAAACCAAGATTACAGCATGTGAAATGGCTGCTTTGAGTGCGATCGTATTCTGACTGCATGGATTCATGCTCATATTGTCACCCACTTGTTTGCTAAACTTAGATTTGATTATTTAGAGGTCACCATGATGTAACTGTTTATTGATGACTGCAACATAAAGAAACCTACTCGCTGATGTGTTACCATGGCAACATGACTGGATCCTGTAACCATAGTGACACAACAACAGCGTGATCGGATCATGTGTCATTTATAAACAGGTATGTCCAGACATAACCCATATGTCAATACTATTTAGTAAAATATTACAATCAAACAGTGTCATACATCTGCACCTCATATACTTGATTCAGCAATGAGATGATTCATAATGTTAATTCTATAATGGTTGCAGCGATTTCCGATGCCCCATCAATCATCCTTATGTACGTCTTTGCAAGTAGAACATGCCCTCAGTGTGTCTCTGAAGTTAAAACATCTGTTCAGTGTCAAACTCTAAAGGTAGACCCTGCAGGTAGAGCTTGTGTTCAACGTGAGACTCTGCACTGAGAACATGTGTCAATTTGAGCATTTGAATGTGGAACGTGTTCAGTATGCGAGTCTCTGCAGATAGTACATATGTTCTGTATGTGAATCTCCGAAGTTAAACCATCTGTTCAGTGGAGGACACTGCATGTACAGCTTGTGTTCAATGTGAGACTCAGCACACAGAACATGTGTTCAATGTGCAAGTCTAAATGTGGAAGTCTAAATGTGGAACGTGTTCAGTAAAACCGAGTGGAGGACTGCAGGGGAGTACATATGTTCTGTATGTGAATCTCCGAAGTTAAACCATCTGTTCAGTGGAGGACACTGCATGTACAGCTTGTGTTCAATGTGAGACTCAGCACACAGAACATGTGTTCAATGTGCAAGTCTAAATGTGGAACGTGTTCAGTACGCGAGTCTCTGCAGGTAGTACATATGTTCAGTATGTGAATCTCGGAGTGGAGGACACTGCATGTACAGCTTGTGTTCAATGTGAGACTCAGCACACAGAACATGTGTTCAATGTGCGAGTCTAAATATGGAACGTGTTCTATATGTGAGTCTGCAGGCAGAACGTGTTCATTATGTTCAGTATGTGAGTCATTGCATAAAAAACATTTACTCTATGTGATACAAGGTAGTACATTTTTTAGTCTGTTTTGATCGGCCCAGCTAGGATTCTACTTATGTTTTTTGTGATAAAACATGAAACATGTTTCAGTCCGTCTCTTGTTTGACATCTTGCATATCTTATCAGCTGTTCATTTGCAAAGAGAAATTTGCAAAAGGTGTGATGACAATTTTAGTAAAATGTCCCATATTGTTTTTGTTGTGTTATTTGTTATGAAATATTCATTAATGCCATCTCCTTCAGAAGATGGTTGGTGATCGAGTATGGCTTTACACTACTCATACCAATATTCCAGTAACACCAGAAATGGTGTACACACTGTACCTATGGGGATAATTAAGTCTGTGCATCAACGTTACAAGTAAATGCATCAACTACTAGGCTACTCCTGTATACCCCAGAGGAAGAGGTAACCGCCTCCGTGGTGTAGTGGTTAGAGCGTAGGCCCGGAGAGCAGATGGTCGCGGGTTCGATCCCCAAACGCATCATATCAAAAGACGTTAAAATATGGTACTTGTTGGTCCCTGCCTGACGCTCAGCATTAATGGCTACAACAAGGACTGGTCGGCTCAGAGTCAGTATAATGTGTCTGAGTGGGGTATTCATGCTTCACTGCGGCATGGTATCTCAGTGGGCTAGCACTATAAAACCAGCTTCAGTCTGGGCTAGTACAAGCAGTCGCACATACACATACACACGCATGCACGTCGTCACATGAGCGAAATATTCTCAAGCACGACAATAAACCCAATTTCACCTCACCACACCCAGAGGAAGAGTGAGTGAGTTAAGTTTTACTCAGCTTTTAGCAACATTCCAGCCATATCGCAGCAGGGGAAACCAGAAATGGGTTTCACACATTGTACCCATGCGGGGAATGAGACCCCGTCTTCAGTGTGACGAGCGAACGCTTTAACCACTAGCCTACCCCTGTTAACACCCGAGGAAGATCGAGTGAGTGAATGAGTTTTACGCTGCTTTTTGCAATATTCCATCAATATCATGGCAGGGGGAACCAGAAATGGGTTTCACACATTGTACCCCTGTGGGGAATCGAACCCGGGTCTTCGGGGTGACGAGCGAATGCTTTAACCACTAGGCTACCCCTGTATATCCCAGAGGAAGACGGAAGGAAAACTATTCAGTGAAGATCAGCAAAATGAATAGTCATCAATGAACTGAAAAATGACTTAGATGCACCAGGCACATAATAATGATTGGGCCAGTTATCCCGTTATCCCACAACGTCAAGCTTGGAAACAAGACTAGCAAGAAAGGGTGATGAGGCAAAATGTATAGCAGATTCAAGTTCTTGCAGCTACTAGACACATCCTAGCTCATGAGACATAACAGGCAGCGATGTGCTTACCTAAAACTGGTGTTGCAGATAAAAACAAGACAAACAGTATATCAATAATATATTTAACAAATATCTTATGTATAAACATCTGTACAATTCTTTCACAGAAATCTGTCAGATAGTCTTTGAACTCTTCATTGTTACACATGCATCCATCCAACTACTGAGCCCTGAGGTATTTGAGAAAAATTTAACAGGGTCCTCGACTCATTATGCCTCTGTGCTGCAACCAGCCAAATACTGGTTCATCAGTGTACATGTGATAAAAAGCACTTGTTGTAAAGTTTAAGTAAGGAACATGCTTGGTGTAAAACCTCTGTCCATCAGCTTACATCCATTTCCACAGAGACCCTTGGAAATTAACAATTCTGAGTTCTAGCGCAACAAGGGGAATAACTCTTGCACGAACATACTATTCATACCATGTACATCTTTTAAGTATTACCAAGGAATGTTTCATAAACAAACCGGACAATCCTATGTCATACATCCCCTCTCATACAAAACTGGTTCACACTCTTCTCTATTCTCCATTTGTGAAGACAGGAGTCTCTCAGTCCCACCACCCCGAGATGCAAAGGCCCACATTTGTAGACAGTATCCCAGTCACTACACAGGCTCGTTTCCATGTAGACAGTATCCCAGTCACTACACAGGGTCGTTTCCATGTAGACAGTATCTCAATCACTACACAGGATCACTTCCATGTTTTCTTGGCTCTCCAGTCAAAGAGTTCCTCTAGTTCTGCCTCGTCCACCTCCCCTTCACTGTCACTCTGCGTCTCCCGATCCCCCACCTTCCCTATCACCTCTGCCTTCTTGTCATGGAGGTCCTCAATCTCCTTCCAGCGATTGCTGCAGCAAAGATGACATGAATCATGTGTATGGTCACACCTGCACAACAGGGTATTCAAGACAACTGGACTTGCAAGTAAATTTGGTTCATGTACATATGTAGTTCAGAATGCACTTTGTTACTGTCATGGTGGGGAATTATCACATCCATGTGTATATTCTTCTCACTTTACCAAACAAATATTGACTCGTGTTTTGATAAATGAATAGGAATGGAATATAGACAAACTTTAGGGATAACAACTTCTTTATATCATTAGTGCAACGTTTTGATACAGATATTCTTGTACCGTTGTCAAGCAGGGGAACGTCACACTCATGAAATAGAGCAGTTGTTATCCATAAAGTTTGTCTATATTGTACTTCCCAGCTTCTAAAATGCCACTCAAACTATGAATAGGAATGCACATGCACAAATCTCATTAAAATCAGATAGTAGTTTAAGCCACCCCAAAATACAGATCTGCAGACCTCCAATTATGGGTCACATCACAACGACTTCTTGTAAACTTTGATCGATCAATGAAATGACAAGATTAGCCAATTGGAAAGCAGCCTTCTAGAGCTTTATGACAGTAGCTTCAAACTGGTGACTTCCATTCCAGACTGTTTTGAAAATAATTTGAAAAAGTTCTCAATTCAAATTTGGAAACATTCCAAACTGTTCTTTATGACATTTTCAGTAGGCAAAAAAGGGCCCACACCCTGTCTCATACAACTGCTGTCTCTGAATCTGAACTTACATTTGGTCATCTATTTCATCTATGTTCCTCTCTATATTGGCCTGCTGGTCATCTTCCTCTATAATGTTCTCTGACACCTGTAACAACACACACAACATCGTACAGCTGCAACATCACAACTGTCAGAGTTCAACATTTAATGGAGATTGCTGAATTTCAATGAACTGTTTCAACACTGAAAACAAACATCTCATAATGTTCAAAGGACGAAATATAACTAGCAATACATTAAGATCCATGTAAAAAAACAAGTGAATAAAAAGGCCTTCAGGATTTATACTGTTGTCATCATATTTCTATGAGCTTGGATCAGACAAAACAGGTTGCTGCCACACAAAGCATCAGAGAGATGGTGTTCAAACATTCTCCACAATGACCAAGAGAAACTTAACATTTCTTTGATAATTGAGGACAAAACTTTGTGATATCCATGTAAGTGGTGCATGTCATACGAATGGGTGCTGACAGATCAGCAAACTTCATGGGACAAGTAGCCAAGGGACACAACTCTGCACATTATTTACAACAGACTGGATGCAGCTAGGCTTCATTTTGGCCTCACTAAAAACAATTACCTATGACACATTTGAATTAAAAAACATCCCGCATCTTTATTGGCAAAGGGGCACATATTCAAATGATACATAAGAAGTTAAATATGTTTTCAGGGATCGAACTGGGAACAAACTTTTTCATAAACTGCTGTTACTAAGGAGCACATATATACGTACGTGAGATTCTTCTTTCATGGCTCTCTGGAACTGTTCCCACTCTTCCTCCATCTTGTCCTTGTACTCCACCTTCCTCACCTGGCAACACACACAGAGATGCTGAGTCAGGTATAACAAACAGCAGCTGGACAATCAATATTATCAATAAGGACCTATTTTGCAATTCCACCATCAAAGGCTTCTTGAACTTCAAAACAGAAAGCCATCTCACCACACTGATACAGATACATAAATTTAAAAGGGATTAAATCATACACTTCAACTAAAGCTGATGCGAGCTGACAGTCAGCCTGCTGAGCATCAGTTGTCATGAGGAGTCTGTGCAAGACAGGTGCAACCTGACATCTCTGTCGACCTACCTTGGCATCCATCTTTGGGTCATCAAAAAACCCTTCAGGTAAAATGTCTGCCATTGTTTTGGGTTTTTCTTCCACATCATCTCCTGATGGCTTGGGGCCCTTATCAAAGAAATCTGAAACAGTGTTGGCAACAAGATATTGTTAGCTATATGACCACACCAGTACACCATAATGAAAACATGTCCAGCTTAGCAGATGTTATGGACTTTGCACTTACTTTCATTTGCATTCAAAATGTATACAAATGTTTGGTTAACTTAACAATAATTTTACACATATCATCTTGTGATAAGGAGATAAAAGGCAACTAAAGGGATCGGGTGGTCAGGCTCGCTGACTTGGTTAACATGTCATCATTTACCCAATTTACGCAGATTGATGCTGTTGATCACTGGATTGTCTGGTCCAGACACCATTGTTTACAGAGTACTGGCATTAAACAACAAACAAATTTTTTGACAAGGTGCATTGTTACAGCCAAGTTCCCCTGACTCACTGACCTGGTGGTAGGACACCTGACCCTGGTCTGGCAGAGCCTGATTTCCCTGCACCTTCATCAGCACCATCACTGTCTTCCTCGGATGAGGATCCATAATCTGCCAGCAACGAGTTGCTTTGTTGCTGACTTTTAGAGGATGACTTGTCAAAGAAATCAGCAGGAAGACTGGAAAAAGATAGACACCCTTTGCATTCTTGACCAAAATGTCAAAAACAAGATCTGACAATACAGATGAAACCAACAATACACTACAGTTTATACAATTCAACTAGCCTGATTTCAGATCACTGAAAATGAAATTAGGGTGCAAATAAATAATGAATACCATATTTCCTCTAATAAGTGCCGGTTCTCTGATAAACACCAGGCCTCTAATAAGCACCAGAGGTAAAGTGGCGGTTTAAGAAATAAGCACAGGGCCTCTAATCAGAGCCGGTTACATTTTTTATAAATGTATTTTCCCTTGATTCAAAAATGGATTTATTAAGGAATGGTCCCTTTAGTCCTGATCGCTAACTTTGTTGTAACGCCCACTAATAATTTATCACACTCAGTAAGTGCAATAAGCACTGAGTCTCCTATAAGCGTTTGGCCTTTAATAAGCGCCAGATCTGGAAGTCTGTTGAAACAATAAGCGCCCTGGCGCTTACTAGAGGAAATATGCAATGTAATTTAAATTTTAATATTAATAATAAGGCAGTAGTTACATTATTTACCCTCAAAAGTGCTGGAAATTATTTGTTGTTGTGTATCTTCAGAACCTTCTAAATGCAAATCATAAAATAAAACTGCACTTGTGATAATATACATGTATATCTAACCAGCAGTAATGTCCTGGGAAAGAACACAAATGTCACACTGCTTACCCTGACTGTTTTACTGATGATCCATTTTGACCTGAGAAAATAAAGTTTATGTACATTACAGTATCTTTTGCACAATGTTACATCCTATTCATATCACATAAAACAAATCCATGGCCTTACATCACGAATGTGGACATTACATAAAATATATTTTAGTGGGATGTTAACATCAGCAACATATGTACATGATACCTTGACATTACATATGCCTTCTTGTTCATGAACAAGTTGCAATAAATAATAAAAATTCCATTATAAATTTCCTTTTTTTAACATGCTTACCTTACAGCATGCACAATTACCAAGATTATGTGAATAAAGAACCATCTTGTAGAAATATATAACTTCATTGTTATGTCTGCTGTACAAACAAATCATAAAGTTACTGCACAGAAAAATATGCTTCAAAATCTTACTTTTCAACTTCTTGCTGTGAGATGCCCCAGAATCCGACTGTGAAACTGATCTCTTGACAGAAGCAGGAACTGCTGGCCCCACAACCGACTTGGCAGCGACATACTGTCAAAACAATCAGTAATACAGTGCATATGTGTACAATAGGGGACCAACAAATCTCGAATACTTAAACAGCCTCCACCGAATTCTGTGTAGTCTGGGGGCACAGATGACCCAGTTGTCTCTGACCTTGGCCATGCTAGAAACCTGCAATTGTGGGTTAAAATTATGCTTCCAGGTCTGTCCTTAAACCTACGGTCATGTTCTTCACCTAAGTGGTAACTGTGTGAGACATGTATCCCCTTGTTTCCTATCAGGCACATTATACTAACAGGACATAATATAACTGGAATACTGTTTATAGGACCTTAAACCCAACTAACTCACTCTGTTTACATGCTTCTCTTGTGATATCATGGACATATGTACATGTAATCAAAGGGACTAACCCAGACACTTAGTTCAAAATCAAGCACCTTTAGAGCTTAAGTCAATATTCTATGTCAAATAATTTGTTTTAAAATTTCTGTTTACTGATGCACAAATCCCTTGAACAGGAGTCAAGTATCCATTACTGGATAAAGTAACTCGTCTATAAATTCTAACCTACAAAATTACTGTTCACTGACTTTAAGAGGCAATTGTAATTGATAACAGTAAAACATCCAGTCTATAGGTTTCTTTTAAATTTACATACATGTTGCACACTAATATGCTGGTTAATTTTTTAGTTTCTGATACATTTGCATGTATGAACACGATGCAGAATTTTACTTATCATTTTACCTTGAACAGATGAATGTAGGCCTGTAGAGATTCGCTGAATATTGGTTTATAAGGACAAAGTGTTTAAAAATATGAATATGACAAGTGAGTGAGTGAGTGAGCTATTATGCTGCTTTTGCAATATTCCAGCAATATCACGGCAGGGGGGACGCCAGAAATGGACTTCACACATTGTACCCATGTGGGTAATCGAACCCATGTCTTCAGCGTGACACGTGGACGCTTTAACCATTAGGCTACCCCACTGCCCCTGAGAATGACAAAGGTATTTCATGGTATATGACTTTATGAGATGATCACTGTCATATGTTCTGGTACCTCTTTATGAAGCCTGCTCTGTATATGTGCTGCCCATAACAAGTCTGACTTTATCGTTGTGTTACATACAGCGCACACAAGCTGGTTCAGACTGTTGTATCTGAAAATAATCAAATATACCAGTATAAAATATATTCCATGGATTCTGCCATATCTAGTGTATATATTGTCATATCTGGGTAAAGCGGATATGCAATTAAATCAATGATACATATAGAAAAGTGTATTTTAACAAGTCTAATCTTCAGGATGTTATTTGAATGGAACCATGATGGCAGCCCATATCACCTCACCTGAACAAATTTGTTGGCACGCATTGTCAGATTACATATTTTTCGGACATCATGTATTTTCCAACTGCAGCGTTATTCTCCATAACATAGCTTGTCACGTCACACATGCAGACATTGCAAATACTTGGACGATCACTTGTGCTAAAGATGGAGTTGTCTTCAATAATTTAGTGACACGTTTTACAATTGTTCATGTGATAATCCTGAAAAAAACTGATTTTGGCTCCCCTGATTTTCTTCAACATTCGAAAACCCATAACGCGAGGATACCTCCAGTTTTAACAAGGCCAATCAAGAAAAGGAGATAACTGTAATTACAAGCTATATGGTTTAGCACAAGGGTCCAGGCTAATTACAACTTCTAAACGCAGGATGGACATTACACTATGGAGTCTAGTTACTATGATTCCAGTCACTTTCTGATACCTCATGTTAAGATCTCTTCTCATCTACACATCGTATTCTTCTATCTCATTCACTTTGACAAGGGCTAACTAATTCAAAATGCAAAAATACACTACTTTGCATGGGCATGTTCAATTCTATTCGATGACTTTAATGATGTCTGCTTTTGTTTCATCAAACGGCGAAGTTCATCTTTCGACACAATTTTCTTCTTCTTACTCGACGCCATTTTGAACGTTTTGTTACAGCCGCCCATGCGAAAATGAATATTTTCGGACAGAGCCAAAGATTATGGTTGTTTATGACTGGGAACATTTCATGTAACATTACAAATAATTATATATATTTGTATCGTTCTAATATATTTGTAAATCGCACAAAAGTTTAGTTATTCATGGAATACGAAAATAAAGACACAGCTCAGCTTGCATGTAGGCACACAGCGCGAAAGAATAAGGTGCGAGACGGATTATGTGTTGAAGTTATTTAAACTATGTTTAACGCCAGAATACATATCGTCAAACGTTTACAATACGAAAATGTCTTAGCCCCAAATGCTTAGTTTGAATTGTTCGGACTGCCATCATTATCAGAACAATAATATTGTGCTCGTAGGCGAGAATAAACAGCTGATAAAAGGGCCTGAAACTGAAAGCACCTGTCTTAGATCCGGTACATTCTCGAATAAGCAGTTCTTATGTCACCACAGGTCTTAAAGTGACTGCATGTTTTTTATTGTACATTCAGTACAACGAGAAGTGCACTTTGCTAGATGCATTTTGTGAATTTCAGTCAGTGCATGTAAAATTATTAAGTCCAGAAAATTTGCCTCATAAGCAACCTTGATGACAATTTCTTAAATTGTAAATAGCTACGAATTCCTGTTGAGGGAATAAACTTTCAAAATATTGCACTATTAGCAGCTGATTACCGTCAAACACAAACAAAAGTCAGTTAGTGTAGAGGAATGCAAATATACCTTATAAACTGGCCTCATTACCTACAGTATGTGAATGAAATGAATATAAATAATGTGTCCATTTATATAGCGCCAAACTCGACACTAGGTATGCTCATAGCACTAACAATCAGAGCACAGCACATTATTATTATAGGATATTTATATAGCGCACATATCCACGCAACTAGTACATGCTCAAGGTGCTGTTATTTTTTCCCCTCGATCGTTGCATGTCAATCTCAATCTCAACTCCTTGGGGATCATACAACTCTTGCAGCCACTAGGCGCACAGAGTTATTGTGTGCTGAACACTGAAAGAGTTGGCACACAAAGTTGACTCAAGGTTTTTACACCCGGTCACAAGTGGGCTTGATCCCGGCACCTCAAGCTCGCTGGATCACTAGCCTGGGGCCTTACACAGCTCACCCACTATGCCCCCACATTATTACCTTTGGTAACCCAAGCTGCCTGTTAGGCGTTAGAAGGTCACATGACTTGGCCCACCGGGTACCCATTTTCTGCTAGGGGAACTGAGGCAATTTTGAACAAACTCACTTGCCTAAGGTGAGACCACATGTATGACATGTATCATATATTTTTAATGAACATTTTTTGTTGCAGAAGCAGAATGTTAAAGGTGATTGGACCTACACTTTGTTGGAAACATGCTAGATCTTTGGATGTATCAAGAATGGTTAGTCTTGTGCGGCGGTTGAAGTCCTCAAAGAGTGATATCAGGAAACTCATAAACTTGAAGCGTGAAAATGAATTGCTGTTTGGACCTTTGCTCAAAGCAAAGGACTTGGAACCAAAGAAAAGGAAAACAAAGAAGAAGAAATCTGTAAAAGATGGGATTAGTACAATTATAGAGCAAGCTAGAACACAGACAGGTGATTGGGCGGATGAAGCTGACTTACTTGATGAATCCATCATTTCTTCATCAAGTAGAAACAAGAAAACGGGGGCAAAATCAACCAATACAGCCAAAACAACGGTAAAGAAAAGCTTGTCTGAAGAGAAGACGGCTTCCAGGAAAAGAAAGACACAAAGCAGCAGTGAATTAGATGAACAGGTATCACCGTTGTTTGAGTTCGTGCTGAACTATCCCCTTGATGTCAAGACTGACATGATCAGTGATGAGTCTTCTGACTTTGGAACTCAAGTTGAACAGATGAGTCTGAAAACCCTCCCAACAGTCAGTACTGTATTGAATAAAACACAGTCGGACATGGCTCGTTTCTTTCTACAGCGATGGCGAGAGACTTCTATAGCAGAACTTGGCAAAGAAGAATTCTACCAGAAGCAGGAAGGTAGGAACACAGATCTAGACTGCTCAATCAAATGATAGCTTTGTCAGTGGCAGAATTGTTAGTACAGGTAGAATAGTATCAGACATGTGGAATGAGGAGTTTACATTATGGGTTCCCTTTCTATTTTTAGCTGAGTGGGGTGTGCAGATGTTATATCATTTTCATGTGAGGTTGTGTCAACTCAAGTCACCTAAGTATCAATTCAACCAATCAGATGAGAGGAAATTTAGTAGTCATATAATGAATTGTAAACCAAAAGTCACTGTGTTCTTTAATCTGATTGGTTTAAAAACGTGATCAAATGGTATTCGATTCCCGGTAGTTGCAAAACTTTTCACTGCGTATTAATACATACAAATAATCAGTACTTTTTTTGCTTCCACCATTTTCAAGATGTCTTCAACAGCACCTAAAAATTTGGACTTTCCAAATTTCAATGTTGGCACCATTGAAGACCATTGACGCCGTCGGTTCCAAATGTATTCCCGTGCTTCAAATACTCAATAACACCCGGAAATTGGTCAACACATGATGTTTATCTCCTAAGTGAATTATAGCCCTTGATTGTCATTCTAGGCAGCTAACAGGATAAGGAGGTTGCTGACTTGGTTGATCATCATGTAAACTGATGCATGTCATCAGTTCCCAGTTGCAAACATTTATGCTCATGATCTCAATGTCTGTATTTTCTGGCCCAGACTCTGTGGTTACCAGACAACTGTCATATGGCTGTAATATTGCTAAGTGGGGTGTTAAATAACAAAGTAATATCATATCCTATATTATTTATTTGTTTGTTGTTTATGCAGCACTCAGCTATATTCTAGCGATATGGCAGCAGTCTGTAAATACAGTGAGACCTCGGATACCCGGGCCCCAGATTTCCGGAAACCTCACCTTCCGGTCAATTTTTAGAAAAAAACAATCTCTTACGTTATAAAAGTGACTGTCTATAATGGATATTCGGTTTCAGTTTCCGGACGGTACATTTTACAAACAAACCGGCTAAATCAACACAAAATTGACTCACCTATCCGCACGAAGCTTTGATCCACCGCTAACCGTGTGAAGGGAAGCGCCAGAGTCCCACGTGTTTTGACATGAGACATGGTCTGCTAATCCGGATCAAGGTATTGGTGGTGATTAGAAGGCCTAGCTGACACTGAGTTAACCATTGAGTTCTAACTGTTAAGTTGTTTATTCAGTCAAATCAATAAAAGTGCAGTGTGTCGATATTCAAGTCAGTTGGTCTTTCAATTGATCACCAAATCGCTAGTCAACCTACTAAATGCAAGCGCTACACAGTGACAGCCAAGGAAAAGAAAGAGATATGTCTTTACAAAGAACAAAATCCCAAAGTAAGCTTAGATAACATAAGCAAACATTTTGGACCAGTATTTGGACATGTGATTGGAAAGTCGACGATCGGCGACATAATGAAGCAAAAAGATAAATGGCTTGGCACACCAGACGATTCTTCGGACCTGTCCCGATCAAGAAATGCCAAACATCAGAAATTTGAAGAAGCTGTTTATCTGTGGCTCAGCGATGTTGCAAGTCGAAATGTGCCGGTAAATGATCAAATGCTGACAGAAAAGGCAAGAGAAATCGGGGAAAAGTTAAATGTTGTGGACTTCGCATATTCTCGGGGATGGCTTTCACGCTTCAAGTCACGTTATCACATTTCAAAAAAGATCTATCAAGGCGAGGCTGCTAGTGCTGATAAAGATGCAGTTGTGAAAGGGAGAGTGGACCTGAAGAAAGTTTTGGACACTTTTGACCATGATGATATTTTTAACTTAGATGAGACTGGTCTCTTCTTCAAGTTGGGTCCAAATTATACTTTGGCTTCGAAACCAGTTGCAGGAACGAAAAGATCCAAAGAAAGAATAACTGTAGCGTTGTGTGCTAATGCAACTGGGTCTGTTAAAATAAAACCGTTTGTTATTGGCAAATCAAGATGACCACGTTGCTTCGGAAGAGATTTCAACCCCGAAGTGTATGCTCGCTGCCGATTTAACACAAAAGCCTGGATGACATCTGACCTGTTCAGCGATTGGCTGATCTACTTTGATAGACAGATGAGGTCACGTGGTAGGCGTGTCATACTGCTTTTAGACAATGCCGCTAGTCACAACTGTGCTAATGTGAAATTATCAAATGTCACGGTACACTTCCTAGCCCCGGGCACTACGGCCCACATTCAGCCCATGGATGGCGGAATTATTCGCACTTTCAAGGCCCATTACAATAAACACCTCGTCCGACATCTCCTCAACTGTGTGGATAATAATGAGGCCCCGGTAGTGAACCTGCGACAATCACTGAGGATGGTCAAACAAGCCTGGGATGCAGTGAAACCTTCGACGATAGCCAACTGCTTCCGCCACGTTGATATCCTGCCTCAACATACAGAGGAAGACACAGACGACGACATGGTGCTTTCTGAGCTGGCCGACCAACTCAGAAAATTTGCCGATGCCAGCAATACAGACATCACAGAAGCCACGCCCACTGCCGAGGAGTATGTTGATATTGACATCGAGCTTGAGATTGGCGAGGCACTGACAGATGCTTCAATCATGGACATGGTCACCAATAAAGAAGATACCGAAGAAGAAAGTGGCGGTGATACGGAGGATCAGGCATCCCCACTACCCTGCTCGTTTGCTGACGCAAATAAATATTAGGCCTACTCAGCTACTTTGAGAACAATGGCGACCGTGAAAACCTGGACAAAATGTTGTCCGTCGTGTTGCAAAGGAGCGGCACCCAGTGTAAGCAGTCCTCAATGAAAGACTTTTTCAAAACTGAATAATTGTAAAGGTATGATTGTTATGTTGTGATGCTGTTTTTGAATGTCTATACATGTACAATAAACGCTTGATGATCATAAACGTTTTTGATTTTCCTTGAGCTGTATGAAAACCAAACATCCAGATATCCGGATATTCAATTATCCGATCGATTTACCTAAAAACGAATGTGTCCGGATATCCGAGGTCTCACTGTAATCGAGTCTGGACCAGACAATCAAGTGATCAACAGCATGTGCATCAATCTTCCTAATTGGGATACGATGTCAACAAAGTCACCAAACCTGACCCTTCAATCCTGTTAGTCACCTCTCATGACAAGGACCGCCTCCGTGGTGTAGTGGTTAGAGCGTCCGCCCAGAGAGCGGAAGGTCGCGGATTCGATCCCCGGCCGCGTCATACCAAAAGATGTTAAAATATGGTACTTGTTGGTCCCTGTCTGGCTCTCGGCAATAATGGTTACAACAAGGACTGGTGGGCTCGGAGTCAGTATAATGTGTCTGAGTGGGGTATTCATGCTTCACTGAGGCATGGTATCTCAGTGGGCTAGCACTTTATAACCAGCTTCAGTCTGGGCTAGTACAAGTCGCCGCACATACACATACACACGCATGCACGTCATCATATGAGCAAAGTATTCTCAAGCACGATGTTAAACCCAATTTCACCTCACCTCACCTCTCATGACAAGCATGGGTTGCTGAAGACCAATTCTAACCCAAATCTTCATGGGTTCATACCAAATTAAAGAGAATGATCAAAGTACTATTTAAGCTAACTTTGACAATAATGTTCAAAGAGGACAATTGTCTGTATCCCAGGCATCAAGCGTGACGGCATCAACCTCCATGCCTGTATCCAGCAGTTCCTGTCTGGGTGCAGCATCAGTGACATCCAGGTACAACCACGCTGCGAGGGCTACTGGGAAAGTGTACGTGGAGCACTTGACAAGGTGGGAGAGGTCAAGGCTGTTGAGAGCAAGGCGCTCCATCCCCAGCTTATGTACCAAGGCACCTACGACTGTGTGGCCTCGTTCAGGTAGGTCAATATTGGCACCATTCAAAGCGCATATTGGTATCAAACCAAATTACGATATAACAATATTGACGGGGAGGGGAATAAGGGGGACAGGGCACTGGGTTTTAAAATATTGAAATGCTTCTGGACAGTGCTCATTCCAGAAATGTACTGTGTTTTTATGCCAAAATACATTGTTTACATGTTTGCTGGGCATGCTAGAAAAAAGATTGTCAGACTCTTCCATTCAGAGTAAGAAATGGTATGAAAACTGTTTCAAAGAAGAATTTGTCTCTGTGGACCTCATAGTGATTCAGGGTTAGACTTGATGCCTAGCAGCAGGGGCAATGAGGTAACCTAGTGGTTAAAGCATCTGCTTGTCACGCTGAAGACCTGGGTTTGATTCCCCACATGGGTACAATATGTGAAGTCTATTTCTGGTGTCCTGTGCCATGATATTGCTGGAATATTGCTAAAAGCGGCATAAAAATAAACTCACGAATGAACGCACACCTAGCAGGGTGTCAGGCTTGGTGATTTGGTTGATTGTGAGTCATCGTACCCAATCTGTCACTGGATGGACTGGTCCAGGCTCCGTTATTTTACTGGCTAATTTTATATGCAAAACTCACAACAGAACACCTGTTTTCCATTTATTTGACTAATAATTAATCTATCATGGCCATTGAGTGTTCTTCTACTTCTGACCGCCTCCGTGGTGTAGTGGTTAGAGTGTCCGCCCGGAGAGCGGAAAGGTCGCGGGTTTGATCCCCGACCGCGTCATACCAAAAGACGTTACAATATGGTACTTGTTGGTCCCTGCCTGGCGCCCGGCATTAATGGGTACAACAAGGACTGGTCGGCTCAGTGTCAGTATAATGTGTCTGAGTGGGGTATTCATGCTTCGCTGCGGCATGGTATCTCAGTGGGCTAGCACTATAAAACCAACTTCAGTCTGGGCTAGTACAAGCAGCCGCACCTACACATACACACGCATGCACGTCGTAATATGAGCGAAATATTCTCAAGCACGACGTTAAACCCAATTTCACCTCACCTCATCTTCTACTTGTCTTGAGTAGTATAGTGAGGAGAGTGTGGCATTAAACAGGTAAAACAATGGACAAACAAATAAAACCTGAAGTCATTGAGGTGGCAATGTTGGTTTGTGTGGCAATAAGGCCTAAAAAAAACATGTTGTGGTTCCGGTTACCCGACCGACCCTTGAATTCTGGTGCCGACCCTAGTTTTTTTAAGAGGTATGAATAAAATAAGCTTTCAGATACCATTGTTTTTTCCCAGCACCAACAGATATTGGTCATTCTGATAGAGAAAGTCAACATGATGGCCGCAAACTTGATTGAATAAACAATTACACATTGATCAATGTGTTATTAGTTCATACTTCTAAAAAAAGATGTAAAAAAAAGAGAATTCCTATCTAGCTACCCTAAATTTTAAAGAGGTGTAATCGGAACCACAACATTTTTATTATTTGGCCCAAGGCAACACTTTAGGCTTGTGCTTCTTCTGTATTACAAACCTATGAAGATCTGGGTTAAAATTGATCTTCAGGATTCCATGCTAGTTGTCAGAGGCGACTAACAGGATCGGGTGGTCATGTTGCCTGATTCTGTTGATACATCACGTATTACATGTCAGTTACGTAGATCAGTGTTCATGATGCCCATCAGACCGCTGTCACAGGCAGAAGATTGCTGAGTGCGGGGTTAAACAACAAGCAACCAATATTGTGTATTACTATTACAAATGTAATTATTGGATAGTGAGTGTAGGAATGTACAGTCAATGTGTGCAATGCCCAGAATGTGGTAGTGGTATCTTTTTGATCGCTCTGTTGTGGACATTTCTTGTATTTGCTGTTTCCTAATGGTTAAAAACTGTAACATGTTTGTTGAATTTTGGTGCTGCCCCAAGCTACCCCCTTGAGAGGTCCCACAGTTGAGACTCACTGTAGGGTGGGTAGCCAGTCAACCCTGCTATGTCAGGACACCCTGATCACTGGAACTGATGCTACCTTCAGTTACCCCCTTGAGGGGTCCCACAGTTGAGACTCACTGTAGGGTAGCCAGTCAACCCTGCTATGTCAGGACACCCTGATCACTGGAACTGATGCTACCTTCAGTTACCCCCTTGAGAGGTCCCACAGTTGAGACCCACTGTAGGGTAGCCAGTCAACCCTGCTATGTCAGGACACCCTGATCTCTGGAACTGATGCTACCTTCAGTTACCCCCTTGAGACATCCCACAGTTGAGACCCACTGTAGGGTAGCCAGTCAACCCTGCAATGTCAGGACACCCTGATCTTTGATGCTACCTTTAGTGTTTGGGTTCAAATAGTGCTGACTACAGCAGAAATGTCCACTCTCTACCCATATCCCAGTCAGTTTATCAGAATAACACTGTCTCTTACTCAGGTTGAATTTGGAATCAGAAAATTCTGACTCATATACTTGTGGTGAGTGTTTATACGAGGTATGACATGAAAGTTCATTACCCTTGGAACATTGGTGTAGACTAAACACGATTAAACTTGCATGGAATGTCTGTTGGCTGTTTACAGGGACATAAATCTGGCAGTGGTAATATTATTGAGTTTGAAGAGTTACTTCCCTTTGGCTGTTTTGTCCTTTCTGATTCAGATCAGTAGGAATCTGCCTTTAAACTAAACCATTCATCAATGTTAGAGGTAGATAGAGATGCAATATGATACATAGCCTGAAACACTTGAATAACAACACACTCCATGAACAGAAACATCTGCAGAGCTCCAGATAAGATTTAGCTCATGTGGGTACTGTACCCACTGTATTTTTTTGGAGTGGGTATTATGAATGTTGAGTGGGTATTTCATTTTCAGTTACCCACTGCTTTCAAATATGTGCGTATTTCAGTCATTTTACTCACCTAAGTATTATGTGACTGAGTAAGTTTACTAAGCAGGTATGTTCTGCCTTATGTCATACCTAATCAAAACCAACTTAAATATAATGGAAATGATTTCATAAAAAATCACTCATCCTACACTGACAGTACAACTCTTGTCCTATACTAACAGTACAACTTGATAGCAATCGATGTCTTTTTCATTACGCAAGTGATTTTTATAAATATATTCCGTACGCATTTGTTTTAAACTTTTTGCGTATCTAACATTTTAAGTGCGTAATTGGTACGCAACAATTATTTTTCAATGCGTAATTGGAAATTTTATATGCATATTTTACCCAGATACGCAGCTTATCTGGGCCTCTGCATCTGTGAGAAAATGGCGACATACTATTACTTCCTCGTTCTGTTCTGATTACATATAATCAACATATAATTACACCATATCTGCCTGTGAATGCTAGAGGTGTAATGATACAATCAGGTCATAATACAATACATATCCTGGTAATAAGGTTGCGATACCATCTGTATCCTGATATGGTACTTTTATTTCAGAAGTTCATATTCCCTGCCTTTCTGCAGGTGAATCATCACTGAATCATTTGTTTTTTAAATCTGCGACTGTTTACCTGTGTTTTTGCGGAAGAGAACTGTATACCTGTAACTGGAAAGAGTCTGCTATTTATAACCAACCAGGAAGTACCACAGTATCTGCATAAAATGGTTCTTGAAGAGTTTCTGTTTCTATTTCTATTCAAATTGTTACGTCAGTATAACTTGTAATGTATTGTTACACCAATAATCACTGATCATGAATGTGCATGCTCATAACACTTCATGAAAACATAGGGGCGGTTTGTAGGCTAGTGGTTAAAGACCCTGAAGACCCGGGTTTGATTCCCAACATGGGTACAATGTGATGCCCATTTCTGGTGTCCCCCCTGCCGTGATATTGCTGGAATATTGTTAAAAGCGGCGTAAAACTAAACTCGCTTACTTGCTCGCTCGCTCATGAAAACATAAGTAGTAAGAGAGTTAAACATAGTGAAGCTTGAATTGGATGAGTTTTCGGGAGCAGCTGTGAATGTTGTCCAAGATAGAGATTGTTTGATCAACCATGTTAGATATGTCCATATCGTGGAGGCCGAATGTGTGTGTAGCCAAATAATTTCTGTAGCAACTTTTGATGTTTCTAAGTCTTCTAACTTGAGGTGATTGATCACTGTTCTGTGCTTCAGTTGCTGTGTTGTGGAAAGAATCTTGTATCAAATTCCAGTCATCATAGACAGCCAGTGTAAACAGCCTTAAGAACAGGTGTGATGTACTTCTATCAGATGTCTCCACTGCACCCACTGCAGGCTGCTGTAAACAACATACTGCACAACAATTGCTTGCACCATACTATTTTCTAATGATCGACAACAGTACTTTACATAAGGGACCATTCATAATTTATGGCTAGGGGGTGATGATGATTTTGTGGAGAGGCATGTATAATGTGAATCTCTCTCCCCCCCAACCCCCACCCCCCCAAAAAAAAGTTAAAATAATATAAAAAAATAAATGGAAAAAAAATTAATACAAATATGTACAAAGTAAGTACCCCTCCCCCCTGCATGTCATGTACAAAATCAATATACCCACAGAATTGATGTTCACTCACTCACTCACTCACTTGATCATTTATTGAACTCATGACAATAATCTTTTCAATGTTGCGAATTTGTTTTACAATACATCAGTTCATGTGTAAACAGTACCTTTAAACAGTATGGAATATCTTGCAAAATCTAGTTTAGAAAGGTTGACTGAAGTATGTGGCTACATTTGCACTAGTGAGTCTAAACTTTTGATGGGTTTTATACATGGTATAAATTTGAAGCAAGTGAAATTTATCAGCCTGTTGTTTGTAGATATTTTACCATTTTGTAGGGCCAAATATGTATATGATCCATGTTGTCGGCATTGGTTTAGAATTGGTCTTCATCATCCCAATTGTTGGAGGAGACTGACATGATCAGATTGTCTGGCCCACTGACTTGGTATGGGGTGGTGGGGTAGCCTAGTGGTTAAAGTGTTGGCTCGTCATGGTGAAGGCCCGGGGTTTG